ATATTATCATGCTAATTAATACAATTTCATAATTTTAAGTAGTTCATTCTGTGAAGGCTTTTTGAAATGGGTAAATTCACAATGATTACAGCTGAATACAATATATATTTTCCTACTAGTTACAAAATAAGAATTAACAACGAAAACACAATGTCCTCTCATAACTTCCCTAAATTTTAAAAAAAGCCAAAGAAGAATATTCTTTTGAAGACTTAGTAAAGCATAACGGAAAAAGAATGCAGGAAATGATGTTAAGAATTTTTGATACTTGATTTTAGAATAAAAATTTTAATACTAATAAACACCAATTTCATACTGAAGACATGTCTTAGGGCTTAGTGTGGACCTCACTTATCTCAGAAAACAGGAATTGGATAGCAGATATCAAATAAATGAGGCAACCAGATTTTGGAGATCTTGATGGTTAAGATTAAAGTTAATATGTCATGTTTTAATTTTTCCTAAATGGAAGCCAGATGATGGACTAAATTATCCTCCCCACCCAACTCCTACCACCTTTCTGCTTGTTTTCTTTGTGCTGCTCCATGGGGCTATGGCATAAGCAACTGTAACTTACACTAGGATGTAGGAGAACATTCAGGAGCATGTGGTTCTCCATCACTGAACAACCTCTGGGGAGTTTTTTGAATGCTGACTCACTCATTATTGCAGCCCCAACATGCAACAGGACACATATTAGATGCTTAGTAAAGAGTTGTTGAGTGAATGGTTGACAAAGTGCATATTAATAAGTAAATAATAATAAAAAGAAATGACTTTCAAAAAGAAGTTGTAATTGCATTACTATTTTTAAACATCACACATTTAAATATTCATTATTGCTAGTGCTGTGAGAGCTTTATTGCAGTCCTGCTACTGGCTTTAGGTATTATCTCATGCAAAACACCTAATTCAGGCAAGAACCAGCCTTGGCAGGTTTTCATAACTATTTTTCCTTGCAGTTCTAATATCTTACACCTCTTTTGACTCACTTGGACTCCTTTTGGGTAGTTTAATATGTATGACTCTGCTTGTTTATTCTATCCTTAGGTAGGAACTAATTTAATAATATTGCCACTTCCCATTTACAAAAACTTACAAGTTAAATGGACTTGACCAGATAAAGCAAGCTAAAAAGGAACAAGATTAGACTTCACAGTGAACACAAATCTGACTAGCATCTAATGTTGTTCTGTGATTTTCCTAGATTTTTGTTCTTTCTTTAGAGAAAAAAAAAATTTTCACAATTTTCTAATTGATAAAGTAATGCATATTCAATTCAGAAGACAGAAAAGAACAAATAAAAATATACTTAGAATTTCACTGTACACAAATAACTACTTTTAAGGGTTTTGCTATAGCTTTTCTTGGCCTCTCTATCTTTTCATAGATTTACACAATTTATGTTTTTTTACATAGGGCTTCCTTCTTTTATTTATTTAGCAATGTGTCAGCAATGTTTTCATGTCATGAAATATTTTAAACTTGTGAGTAATGCTGATTTTTAAATAATGTATTTAATAATATTTAATAATAGTAAATTATAATGATTACAAAATTCATTTTAGTCAATCCCCTACAATTGAACATTTAAGATGCTTTAAGTTTTCATTATTATTATTATTACTTTTGGAAACAAATTTTCTCCACATATGAAATTTTTATAAAAATCTTGATAATGATGGTTAGGTATACATATTAAGAGTACACACAAGTGGCCTTTTAGCCCTTGTATTTTGTAAAAATCTGTTCTTTATTTTTGGAAGGCCAGATTTTCAAATGCTTACCTCAAAATCGTTTCTGACTTATCTGAACTCGGGCATGATGAATGATCATATGATCTTACAAGTTATAACTATATCTTCAGGTCCTTTTTTTCTTTTTCTCTTGGACAATTACTTATGAGAAATTGGGCTAGGCACTGCACAAAAGGGAAATAATTACAATTATAACTCTTGCCCTGAGCACCATTTACTCTCAACCATTGGTTGGTCATCACCAGTCAGTTCAATGAACTTGAGAATAATTTTGTTTTCTGTCCAAGGAAAAGACCACTTGGAATTTTTATTAAAATTATATTCAATGTGTTATTTAATAACAGAAAGTATTTACATTTGTAAAATCCTGAGCCTTCCTATCTGTTCCTGAATCTATTTATAAGCATGATTTTATATTATCTGTAAACATATCATTTTTGAGTATATTCAGGTCATGTAAGTCTTTAGTAAAATGTTATCTTTTCTTTCTTTAGGCCCTTTAAATAAATTGTTAATAATCCTCAATTATACTGTCAATTACTCAGTGCTTTCCTGATGCAAGACAGTGCGCTGAACATTTTGCATGAATAATTTTTTTTTTTTTTTTTTTTTTTTTTTAAGACAGAGTATCACTCTGTTGCCCAGACTGGAGTGCTGTCGTGTGATCCCTCCCGGCTCACTGCAACCTCCGCCTCCTGGGTTCAAGTGATTCTCCTGCCTCAGCCTCCTGAATAGCTGGGATTGCAGGTGCCTGCCACCATACCTGGCTAATATTTTTGTATTTTTAATAGAGATGGGGTTTCACCATGTTGGACAGGCTGGGCTCGAACTCTTGACCTCAGGCGATCCACCTGCCTGGGCCTCCCAAAGCATGAATAATTTTATCTAACCCTCACAACAACTACATGAAGAGGGAAAAATTATTATCTCTGATGCACAGATGGGGAAATTGAGGCTTGGATAAGTTATATGTCTTGCCCAGAGCAATATACCTAGCAATATACCTAGCAATATACCAGAAGAATTTGAGACCAAGCTGTCTGAAAAAAAATTTTTAAGTAAACTTTTTATTGAAGCATAACATATGTAAGGAAATGAGCAAAATAATAAGTGCACAGCACAATTGATTTCTATAAAATAAACATACTCATGTAATGAACACACAGAATATTACTGGTATCCCTAGGTACTTCTCCTAGGCCCTCCAACTGTCATTAATCCCCTTGGGGATAACCAGTAGTCTAATGTTTGCCACTGTAAACTAGCTATGCCTTATGTGGAACTTCACTTTTCTATGTCTAGATCATTTTGTTCAACATTGTATTTTTGATTCATTGTTGGGTTTAGCTATAGTTTTTTCATTGTTGTGTAGAATTCTATTTTACATATGAAACACTATTTATGTATTCTATAGTAGGTGGCATTTGAGTTGTTTTCAGTTTGGGATTATTTAAATAATGTTACTATAAACATACTTTTCCATGTTTGTTGGCATGTAAATTTCTATCAGGTATGTACTTAGGAGTGGAATTGCTGGGGAGGCATATGCTTAGTTTTAGTATAGATTCCCAGATTTCCAGAGTGACTGCATCCTTTCCCACTTTTCACTGCAGTTTCTGAGAGTTCTTGCTGCTCTGGAACATTTTACTCTTGTGTTTTTTAATTGATAAGTGTTAATAAAATAGAAAAATGTATTTTTTTCCTGTATGTTCATTTTATATATTTTGCTAAGTATCTTATTTTTCTAAAAAAATACTCTAAAACCATGGCAATATCTCCACCTTTATTTCTAATTTTGTATATTTATACATTATTTATTACACTAAGAGTTTGTTATTGGTTTAATTTCTAGCAAAATATCTATGAAAATTATTTATTAATTCTATTGTTTCAAAAATCAATATTTTCTTCTTTCATACTTATTCATTTTTACCTTTCCTTAAGCTTATTTTTCAATGTTCATTAGCAGAGTGCTTACCTAATTTATTATTGTTTAAGAGTAAATTGTCTCTGCTGATGGAGTGAGCAGCATAAATCCAGGAGAAATCTGCTGGAGAGATATTGAGTATAAAATATTTTTTCATTCAGAGAGAGAGAGAGAGACAGAGACACACAGGGAAAGAAATAAGGAGTTAATTATCCATTTCCTTCCCCAGGACTTTGCCATGTCTGCATGTGTGGATGAAGAGTGTGATTTTAATCTTACAACCAGGAAGGGAGTTAGTCATAGGGAAAATTACAGAGCAGATGATTAAAGATATGGTGGTCTTTTCTGATATCACAGAGTCACAGCCTTTCATCCGACTTCCTCTTATTAAAGACCAAAAACATTAAAAATAAAAAAAGGAAAAAGGAAATAAATATTTTCCCCGATTTTTAAACTTTTGAATTTTGTTTTCTATTATTGGCCAAGGCATTCTAACTGATTTGCTACCCATATCTTTCTTCATTTGTGTTTTGCTTGATGTAACAGGGACAGAGAGCTATGAAAATACCCTCCTTCTGTTGTTTCTGGTTTTTTTTTGGAAAAACTAGTTTTTAATTATGTGATCCTGTATTTTATTATGATTCAGCTTAAAGATTCATGAGTTATAATTTTGTGTCATAAACTTATTTTGTTCTTTTCTATCATATTCTTTTAAAAATACACAATCTACAATTTTTTACCCAGCTTCTTATTTTAAAGTATTATTTTATTACTATGTGAGAATTAATTTACTTTTCTTTCAAATAGTGTTAAAATGTACTTTCTGATATAATGTTGTTAAACAATTGCTTATACTCAATGCTATGTTTACATATTTTCTGAGACTCACTTCTACTGTTCTTAGGCCATAATTTCCCCTTTTATATGTGCAGATAAACCTTAATAGAATACTTTCTTGGTATTTTTTTTCCAGGATAAATAAATAGATGATATTCTTTCAGTTACTTTTACACATGAAACAAAGCTTCAGTGAACATAGAGCATCTGGCTTAAAATTTGTTCCCCTGATGCATTTGTAGCCGTTTTCCCATATTCTGGCATTTGGTGTGGTGCAGAAGTCCCGCCTCAGTGTAACTGTTCTCTTGTGCTAGGTTACATTTTTTACCACCTCTAGGCTGGTTGTCTTTCACTTCTCAGCAGGGTATATCTGGTTTGGTTTTTACTCTTCGGATGTAACCTCTTTAAATGTTTAGATTCAATTCAATTTTTTTTCTACTAATACTTTATTTCAGTATATTTTCTGTTCTATTTTTCAGAATTATTGATCAAATTTGGGTCTCTGTGTGCTGTTCTCCAATTTAATACCTTCTCTGTTGCTGTTTTGTTTTCTTTCTTCTGGAACATGGCAGAGTGCTTCAAGGTGGGTCGCAGATGTCTGACTTATTCTTCTACATTAGTAGGTTTTCTCTGTATTGTTATAATTAATTTTAAATTGATTTTATAAAATTTATAATTATAGGATTTTTTTTATGTTCAATTCCATTTAAATTTTTTCCTATTTGCCCATTCTTCTTTTTTCTTATCACTTTAAACATACTGATCTCACACTGAAAAGACACATTGATAGAAATGAATTTTTGAACTGAGTCCAAAGATTTAAACATCTGGTTATATCCTGATGAAAAAAGAAAGAAGACAATCTCTTTATCATGTCTGTCTTTTGAAGTTATTACTTAAATTTTGTTAAAATAAATTGTGGTTTATTGCATTATTTTCCTCATTTCTTTCACCTCTTCTTGCATCTGTTCCCTTGCTACGGCCTCGCCATCATAGATGGCATGTACTCATTTCATCTTGTCTCTGGGCTTGGCTATGTGACTTGCTTTGGCTGATGACATATGAGCAAAAGTCACAGTTTGTATTCTAAGTGCAAGCCTTGAAGATCTCACATGTTCTTGCTTGTTTTATTTTCTTTCTGGCAGATCATGGAAATAATATAACCATGGGTAGTCTGCTGGTCAGCAGAGCCACCCTAGGTAATTAATAGATATGCAAAAAGAGCTTCCCAGTTGAGCCTAGCCTATGTCAATCAGATTCTAGTAGGTTCATAGATGCATGAGCAGTAAGAAAAGTTTACACTTATTGGAGTGATTTGTTACATAGCAATAAATAACCAACACAATACATTTTAAAATATTTTCTCTGGTAAATCATTTTCAAAAGTAATTCTTTCTGTGCTTCTTGCTTAATAAAACTTTTTGTAAATCTTACTTTTAAAACGTTATTCTTCTTTGTCTTGAATTCCTCGTTGAAAAAAGATTCATAGATTTTTTTTTTTTTTCTAATTCATCTGTCTTTAAATAGCGATGAGACTTCCTCTTTGAAGATCACAGGTGAGAAGATTAGATGCTTTCTCGGAAGCCCAGAAACCTGATGGGATTGTGGAGTGAGCCAGACCCAAATCAGAACTTCATCCCTGCATGGTTTATTTTGCTTGTTTGGCAAACTTGCCCCACAGGTAAGCAGATCCAGTGTGACAGTATGTTCCTGTGCCAGCTGTTCATGTTTTCAAAGAAGAGATTCTTTGGGGTTTTGTTTTGTGCCTTGAACCCTTCAAAAGCAAATGTCCCAATTCTAACTGGCTTATTACTTGTCCTGCTTCCTGCTCTTCTAAAGAAGTTATCTGTTGCTTTGGGGAAAATTGTCAGCATGGTTCAAGGCATTTTATTTGCTTGATATCCTTGAAAGACACTAGCCAGCTGCTCACAAATCTCACTTCATCTCTCTCTTAGACATTCAGCTAATCTGTATTTTTGTTTCCTCTGCCTGTGGCCATGTGATTGATTTCTCGGGAATATAATGTGATATTGTTATTTCCAGGTCAGGCTCATAAAATCTTTCTACGAACAATTCCCAACTTTCCAACAGAGGCTAAAGAAAATGGAGAAAGTCCAATAACCAAGGATTGCATCTGACCCACTGTAGTATGCAATAAACTTTAACAATTATTGAAAAAGCAGAGATTTTATAAGATTCTTCAGTTAAACAAAGTAACTATACTTGTTGTGAAGATCAAATTCAGAGAGATCTAGACTATGGCAAAGAGTATTACTCACCTTTACTATTAAATCGGACAGTATGTTAGGTCTTTCAACATGACCATCTTTGAATTTAACCTAAATATCTCCATTTTCTGCTAACTGCTACCGCAAGGCAGTGTCCAGTCATTTTTGTGTAGTGCTCCTCCCACTCCCACTCACGCACCCTGTTTAGTTCAGATTCTGATGTCTTTGGATCAATTAATGTGAAAGGAAGGTGTCAGAAGTGGGATGGGGCAAAGGAAGTGCAACTGTGATGCACCAAAATGGCAGGGTGCTCTGGAGTGAGTACTGAAATACAGAGCCGGGGTCCCATTTTGGGCCCAAATGGCTGAGTTTTTGTCCTCTGCAGCACTGAAAATCAGGTCTTGATATTCCTGCCTTGCTCAGTCACCACAGTGGGCACTCACACATGGGTGTGATCTTAGCCAGATCTCTACAGTTGAAGATGGCCATTTGGGAACCAACTGGGGGAGCTATCTGCTGACTGACCATACTCTTGGTGACTAGGCAGTGACTTCTACCAAATTCTAGTTAATCTTACATTTCCTCTCACACACTAGTTTTTCTTCCATTGTTTTCTAATATACTGTTTTTCTCCTCCATGAAAATGTTTAGTATGACTCCTAACAGTTCTCTATTATTTTTTTTTATTAAAAGAAATTGGCAGTGCTCAATGTCTGTGCAGAGAAGAAGAGGCAGCTTGAGACAAATAACTTTTGATCACCAAATAATTACGTAAAGGGCTGTTGGTTTCTTTTAGTTATCAAATTTTATTGGTATACCTAATGTATTTGACACTCGAAGTAAATCATTTTCAAATATCTTCCCTCTATTCTAGAAAATTATTTTAGTAAATTTCATAAAATGAAATGAGTAATAGTAATGGATAGATTTTTAAATTATGCTTTATATGTATAATCATATAGCTTAGAAATACAAAAAAATTAAAACAAAGCAATTAAAACAAAAATAAATAACACAAGAATGAAACAAGAAAAAATAGAAGGAAAAATAAAGTAATTAAATGGTATAAAAAGAACAAAGTACAATTAATTCAATAATTTTAATAGCTACATAGCAATGAAACTTTGAACTTTTGGTTACAGTCTGATATAATAAGTCATCTATATAACTGGCAATTAATAAATGAATTATAAGAAAAGCAAAATATCTATAAAGGCTAAAATTTAGGCAACTAGGTCATAGCCTTGATGCAACATTTTATTATTATGATTTGTTTATTATTTTAAAAGCAAGGTAGTTTCTTAAAAAGTTAACCATAAATTTATTATCTGACACAGCAATTTCACTCTGAGATATTTATGCAAGAATAAATTAAAACATATGTCCATTCAAAGACTTGTGCACCAATCTTCATAGCAGCGTTTTTAATAATAGCCAAAAAGTGAAAACAGTTTAATGCCCATCAGTTGGTAGAGGAATTAACAAATGTGGTATATCTATATGTGGAATATTATTTGGCAATAAGAAGGAATGATGTACTGATACATGCCATGACATGAATAAACCTCAAAAACATCATGCTAAGTGAGAGAAGTGAGACGCAAAATATTACATAGTGTATAATTCCCCTTACTTGAAAAGTTCAAAAAAGGCAAATCTGTAGAGTTGGAATGCAGATAAATGATTGCCTCTGGTTGCGGGTAGGAATGAAGACTGATTGAAGAAGGGCACAAGAGATCTTTTAGGGCTGGTGGAAATGCTCTAAAACTAGGTTGTGGTGATGGTTTCACAACTCTAAATTTGTGAAAAATCATTGTATTCTTAAAATGAATGATTCTTTTGCTGTGCAAATTGTACCTCAATAAAGTTGTTAAAAAAGCAAACACATAGCAATTAAAATGGATAAAGTGGAAAGACATTAAAACTCAGTAAAAATTGTATTCATTTGTACTAACAAATATTAGTTTTGGTGTTTTAATTTTTAGCACAAAAATACTAAGTGTTCACATAGAATGACATAATTGAAGTAATTCAAAGTTTTTTTTCATTTTCACTTCACTAATTATTATTTATTTTGAATCTGCTATTGAGACAAGGAAATATGCAGCCAAGGAATTGGAGACACAAACAGGCAACTAAAAGTGACATGGAAGGTTCTGGGCTGTTTGAACTTACACTCAGATGAGTACACAATGCTGAAGCTGCCCGTGTTGGCAGACTTTATAACTGACATTTTCATGAATTAGCTTTATGGTAGAACATAATAATTATTAAATGACAAGTAATTAAAATATTCTCATTTAAACTCCACGTGTATATTATTAAAACACAACTGTTTCCACAGCAAGTGTTTACAACTTATAGTATATCATATTAATAGAACAGAAGTGAAAGAAAACATTTCAGTAGATGTAAAAAGTATCATTTTAATTAACATTTGTTAGTAAATATTAGCTTATTGACAACCCGATTTAAATGTAATATAATAGGAGTGGATGGACATGGTTTCAACATACTAAAAACAGTTTTGCCTCAAAGGAAAGCTAACATTCTGCTTAACGTTCATTCACTGAAAAGCATATTTTAACTTGTGTGATGATACTTGGCAATACAATTAGAAAAAAGCAAAAGAAAAAAGAGTATAAGATGTAAGATATATATGCATGAAGTCCAGATTCTAAGATTAGATTGTTAACCCAGAAAATCTAAAAGAATGAATTTAAAAACTTAGGGGAGAGGAGGTCAAGGTAGCTGACTAAAAGTGGCTAGTGTACACCTGCTCTCATGGAGAGCAGCGAGTGGTGCGTAAACACTAGCTCCTCAACTGGATGGTCCAGGTGGACACACTGGGATTCTTAAAGGAAGTAAGGCAATCCATGGAGAACAAAGAAGAGTGAGTCAGGACAGCCGCCCAATTGGGATTGGCATGGCGTCAGGGGAAGACTCCCCACTGTGGGGAAACTGAGTGAGTGAGACCCCCTCCCTGCCCCGAACACAACTTCCGCCACAGACCTTTGTAACCATAGTGTCAGGAGATTCCCCCATGATGTCACCCACTGGGACCTCCACATTGACAGAGAGCTACTTGGAATCTGGGCAGAGCTGCTGCTCAGGCACATGTGGAATCTCAGGGGCCTTGGATCCCTAGGTACCCGGCACCAGCACCTGCAGCTCTGGCAATGGGGGAGGTCAAAGTCCCTTGCATATGTCCAGGATAGGGGCTGAATCCACAAGACTGACGAATGAATTGACTGCAGGCCTCACCTCCACTGCACCTCACTGGACAAGGGCCTGGGACTCTAGAATGGCCAGGTCAGCCCTGCCTGAGCTCACTGACCGGTAGCAGCCTGGCACTTTCCTGGGGTGAAGCTCCCAGAGGGAGTAGGCAGACCTATCAGTTATGCTGCTTTGCAGCTCCTGCCCCTACTGCCCTCAGGCTCTGGAGGAAGTGAAGTGATAAAGGACTAATTCAGGCCCCCAGCACAGAGCAGCTGCCTTACAGAAAAGTGGCCAAACTGTTTTCCACATGGGTTCCTGCTCTTCAGTGAGCAGGCCCTCAGCACAACCTCCCTATCCCATCCTGAACACTTGAGTTGGTGGCAGCTCTGTGTTTCTTTGGGTTGGAAATCCTGGAGACAAACCACAGCCCCTCTGACATTGCAGCTGCAGTGGTACCACCCTTACCGCTCACCGGCTGGGGAAAGAACAAAGGGCCTGGACCTGTCACCGCTACCTCCAGCACACCACAGCCACAGACCCTCTTCTCTGTGAACCCCCTCACACTACTCTTCACAAGATAGGGCCCCCAGATCATAACTGCAGAGCAGCCACTTCACTCCCGACTGAGCATTCCCGCTGGTAGTGGCTCTGTGTTTCCCTGGAGTAGAGCTTCCAGAGACAACTGACAGCCTCTTTGCCATTACCACTGCAGCAGTTCTACCCTTGCTGACCTAAACTGGGGAAAGAATAAAGAGCCTGAGATCTTTACCTGTGCCTCCAGCATGCCACAGTCACCATACACGGAGGAGTTCAGTCTCTCTTCCCTGTGAGTCTCTGACTCCCTACTCTTCATCAGGCAGGGCCCCCAGCTTGGGTCAGGAGTGCAGCCACTCCTCAGCCCCAAGCTGAACATTCCCATTGACAGAAGTTCGGTGTTTCTGGGGTGGATCTCACGGAGGCAAGTGAAGGCCTCTCTGCCACTGCCACTGTGCTGGTACTGCCCTTGCTGCCCTTGGGCTGGGGAAGGAGCAAAGACTCTGATTGCTTTACTCACACCTCCATCCCACCACAGCCATCCTAAGGAGAAGAGACCAATCTGTCTTCGCTGTGAGCCCCCACCTCCCCTGCTTATCACCAGGCAGGGTCCTATAGCTTGGGCCACAGTGTAGTCACTCCACCCAAGGCTAATTGATCTGATTGGTAGTGGCTCTGCATTTCTCTGGGGTGGAGCACCAGGAGATAAGTGAAAGGCCCTCTGCCATTGACACTGCCAAGTTTCCTTCTCCTCTGCCTGCAAGCTATGAAGGGAACATAAAACCTGAGCTTACCTTACGACTGTGGTATGCAGCCCAGGAACACCAAGCCAAAATCTGCCTCCAGCACTCGAGTGGGAGAGGAGGCCACACTCTCAGAGAACTGAGAGGGAGCATGGCTACAAACATGAGGAAATTCAGAGAAGCCAAGTGGCTGAGCAGCAGCTTCCCTATTGGATGGTGCGCCTAACCACCATTTACTGGATCACAGCCAAAAAATCAGCCCCAAAGTCACTTCGCTAATATTATTCCCTCACCCCATGAAACCAAAGACAAGACTTCAGCTACAAATAAAGTCCCAGCACAAAACCTTGTCCCTCTGAAAACATCCAGAAACAAAGTCAACAAAGACCATACTAAAATTACTCCACAGTTAAAGGAACATTAGCCTACACAGATGAGAATGAATGAGGGCAAGAACTCTGGAAACAGAAAGCTAGAGTGTCTTCTTTCCTGCAAATGACCACACTAGTTTCCTAGCAGTGGTTCTTAACTCAGCTAAAGTGGCTGGAATGACAGAATTCAGAATATGGATAGGAATGGAGATCATTAAGACTTAGGAGAAAGTTGAAACCCAATCCAGAAAATCTAAGGACTGCAATAAAATGATACAGGAACTGAAAGACGAAATAGCCATTTTAGGAAAGAATCAAACTGATGTGATAGAGCTGGAAACACACTATAAGAATTTCATAATACAATTTGCAAATATTAACAGCAGAACACACCAAGCTGAGAAACAATTCTCAGAGCTCAAAGCCTGCTTCTCTGGACTAAATCAGTCAGACAAAAATAAAGAAAAAATAAAAAAGGGTGAACAACATCTCTGAGAAATATGAGACTATGTAGAAAAGCAAATCTAAGACTCACTGGTGTCCCTGAAAGAGGGAGAGAAAGCAAGCAACTTGAAAAACATATTTGAGGATATCAATGAAAATTTCCCCAACCTCGCTAGAGAGGCCAGCATTCAAATACAGGAAGTGCAGAGAATCCCTGTGAGATCCTATACAGACAGGATGACCATCCCCAAGACACACACTCATCAGATTCTCCAAGGTCAAAATGAAAGAAAAAAATGTTAAAGGCAGCTAGAGAGAAGGGGCAGGTCACCTACAAAGGGAAGCCCATCAGACTAACAATGGACCTTTTAGCATAAACCACACAAGCCAAAAGAGATTAGAGCCTGTATTTAGCATGCTTAAATGAAAGAAACTCCAACTGATAATTTAATATCCAGTCAAACTAAACTTTATAAGAGAAAGAGAAGTAAAATTCTTTTCAGACAAGCGAATACTAAGGAATTCATTGCCACCAGACCTATTTTACAAGAGGTCCTTCATGGAGTGCTAAACATGGAAATGAAAGACCATTATTGGCC